CCCTGAGGGGCGAGAAGCGCGCGTCCGAGGCCCAGAAGGGCAGCGAGGCCGCGGCCGGGGAGAGCCTGAGGCCCGTGACGACCTGGCCGCCGCACGTCGCGTCGGCCACGCCCGAGACGGCGGCGGCGACCAGGGCGAGGATCTCGCGCTCCGAGATGGCCTCGCCGCCGATCTGGGCCAGCACCTCGCGCTGCCGCTCGGCGTTCTCGGCCAGGTAGCCCGTGTCGCTGACGGCGGCCAGGTCGAGCGACGCGGCGGGCAGGCCCAGGCGGCGGCGGTGGCGGGTCAGGCTGTCCAGGAAGGTGTTTGCGGCCGCGTAGGCCGACTGGCCCTGGTTGCCGATGATGCCGGCCACGGAGCTGAGGGCGATGAAGAAGTCGAGGGGGCGGCCGAGCAGCGCCTTGTGAAGGTTCCAGCCGCCCGCGACCTTGGATCGCACTACGCTCTCCCACTGGGGGAACTCCATCTTTTCGAACAAGACGTCCTGTGTTTTGAGCGTCAGTAGCTGCGGCGACAACAAGAGGCGGGAATTAAGGGGTGACTACTTCGGGGATGTAACTCACATCGAGGATCATGGCGCTGTGGATGACGCCCTTGACAGCGGGCATCTGGGCGGCTGCTAGCTCGGCAATCATCTTCTCCACGTCGGCTGCCAAGGAGACGTCGCATTGGCTAACGACGATTCTTGCGCCGTGCTCAGATCTGGCCTCGTCGATCAGCTGGGCGACTTTGGGCGCCACCTTTGCCGAGCGCGAAACCAGGGTGATGTGCCTGGCGCCCTTCTGCGTCATCCACCTGGCTATGCTGCGCCCGATGCCTCCGGTTCCGCCGACTACGATGTATGTTGCGTCTGGGCGGAGCAGCTTTTCGAAAGCCTTTGTCGAGTATGTTGCCTGTCGGTGGTGAATCGTCAGCCGGAGTCACAGCGAAACTAGAGCAAAAAAGGAGAGAAAGAATGCACGTACCTTGACCATGTCTTCCGGAGCGGCGGTCACGAGGATCTTGCCGTGAACCTTGCCGGCCTGCAGCGTCCGGAAGGCCGCCTCGACCTCTGATATGCTAAAGGTGGTGGTGGGCGAGATGGGCCTGACGGCGCCGTAGCTCAGCAGCTTGAAGACGTCGTCGAGGAGCCTGCGCATGGTGCGCGGCTTCTCGGAGGCGACGAGTGTCAAGTCGATGGAGGAGAAGGAGGCGTTCTTGTCAAAGACGGCCATGCCCAGGCTGGCGTTGGCCAGGATGCTGCGCTTGCCGATCTCGACGAAGCGGCCAAAGCAGGCGAGGCACTCCCACGTCTCGCGCAGGGCGTCGCCGGCCAGCGAGTTGAGCACCACGTCGACGCCCCTGCCACCCGTGGCGCGCCTCACGGCCTCGGCGAAGGAGACGTCGCGGCTGTAGAAGATGTGGTCCTCGGGCACGCCGTAGGTGCTCGTTAAAAAGTCCTTCTTGGCGGCGCTGCCGACGGTGGCGTAGACCTCGGCGCCGACCATGCGGGCCAGCATGACGGCGGCCTGGCCGACGCCGCCGGCCGCGGCGTGTATGAGGACAGACTCGCCCCGCCGCAGCCGCCCCACGTCGAAGAGGCCGTAGTAGGCGGTCGAGAAGACGACGGGCACGGTGGCGGCGGCCTCGAGCGTCATGTCGTCGGGCACGCGCGCGGCGCTGGTGGACCTGGAGCGCGTGTAGGTCGAGTAGGCGCCTTCGGAGCTGGCGCAGACGCGGTCGCCGACCTTGAAGTCGCCGACCGAGGACCCCACGGCGCTCACGAGCCCCGCGCACTCGACGCCCAGGTACGGCGACGGCACCTCGCCCATCGAGACCATGATGTCCTTGAAGTTCATGCTCGTGACCTTGATCTCGATCTGGATCTCGTCGGGCCCGAGGGGGAGGCAGGCCTTGTCGTCGTCGACAAAGTGCAGCGTGTCGAGCGCGCCCTTGGTCCCGACGGCGAGCCGCAGTGGCCGCCCAGGCTGGCCGAATGGCTGCGCGAAGGGAGGGGTGGCCGGGTTGGTGTGCTGCTCCACAAAGGCGTCCAGGTCGGCGTCGTCGGCCACGCGGCAGACACTCAGGAGCCCCCGGCGCTCCTGGAACTCCATGTCAGGGTCGCCGCCCGTGCTGGCGACGACGTCGTCGTTCTCGCTGTCGGGGGTGGTCGGCTTTCCAAACACGTGGCTCGCGACCTCGGCGACTAAGCCCGCGTCCCTCGCCACCGTCGACGATGACGACGACGACGGCGCGCCCGCGCCCTCGCCGTCGAGGTCTAGCGTCGCAAACTTCATACCCGTCTCGGACCTGACGGTCCGCGCGAGGCCGAGGATCATGCCCAGCCGCGGGTCCGTGGCGTCCGAGTGCGCGCCCCTGACGACCCAGAGGATGCCCTTGGCGGACAGGATCAGGCGCTGCACGCGCGCGAAGGCGTCCGCGTCCAGGCCGGCCAGGAGGGGCTCCCCGTCGAGCTCGACGAGCACGACGCAGACCTTGGCCGCGTAGGGAGAGTCTGCGGTGGGGTCTGCCGGAGCGGCCTCGAGGGAAGACAGATGGACGTCTGGCGGCGCCCTGTCGGACGTGTGGCTGGCGAGAAGCTTGTTCTTGAGCGCCGTGGCCAGCCCCTCGGCGTCCTGTTGCTGCTGTGTGGCAACTATCACGACCGAGTCTGTAATCTCTCGGGTTGCTCTAGGCCGAGGAGCTGTAGCTATATCGGTTGCCTCCTCGTGAACCCCATTTGTGCCATTGGTGCCGTTGACGCCGTTAGAGACTTGCAACTCTGACGAGGGGCTGGAGCCAGCAATCTCGGGATACAGCGGCTCCCAGGACTCCTTGAAACAGAGCTCTCGTGCACCGACCGCCTCGGCGACTGCGGCATCGCCGTCAAAGATTGGGTCGATGACCAGCCCCTCCATGCTGATCAGCTCCTGCTGGCCGTCCATAGTCGTGGCAAACATGCTGATCTTGGTCGAGCCCGGGTTGGCAAAGTTGGGGTTCCCCTCCCCGTAGACGCGGATGCGGTCGCCGGGCCGGCCGGCCAGGCGGCGCACGTCGGCCGACACGGTCAGGCCCTTGAAGAACCTGGGCATGTACAGCGCCGGGAGCTTTCCCCTGCCCGCGCCCAGGATGACCCAGGCGGCGTGGGTGAACTGGTCCAGCAGCGCCGGGTGGATGTGCAGCGGCGCCTCGTGGCCCTTTGGCATGACCTTGGCCGTGTCGGGCACCACCACGTCGGCCACGCAGGCCGTGTCGCCCCCCGCGCAGTTCTCCATGGACCGGAACTGCGCGCCGTACCTTGCCGTGACGGCCTCGAGCTCCCCGTACAGCCGGTCGGCGCGCACGGCTTCGGTGCAGGCGTCGAGGACCCGGCGCCTGCGCGCCTCGAGGAGGGCGGCGGCGTCGGCGGACGCGTCGTGCACCGTGTTAGTCTGGCTGCTGGCGGCAGCGGCGGTGGTGACGGCACCAGGCTTGTTGTGTTCGACGCGGATCAGGCCGCGGCAGTGCTCGATCCACTCGCGCTCCTTGTTCCACGAGAAGATGCGGAACTCGTCCCACACGGCCGACGACTCGCGCGTGCCCTCGGGGTTGGGCCGCAGTGTTATGTTGGTCTCGGAGTCGACGCCCTCCTGGACGATGAGCGGGCGACTGATGGTGACGTCGCGGAAGATGAACTTTCCGACGAGGCCGCCCTCTTCTGCTTCTTGGGCGGCGCCCAGGCCCGCGGCCGCGGCGGCCCTCTGCGCGGCGGCCTCGATGGCCATGCTGAGGTAGCAGGCCATGGGGAAGACGGTCATGCCCTGCATGGCGTGGCCGCGCACCCACGGCACGTCGTCGGCGCGCAGGATGCTGCGCCACGTCGGCTCCACGTCGTTGGACCAGTCGGCCATGCTGCCCAGCACGTCGTTGCGCGGGAAGCGGCGGTGCAGGTGCGCCCGGCTCAGGCGCGTCTCCCACCAGTAGCGCGTCTTGTGGTCCCACGCGTACTTTGGCATGTCGCTGAGCACCTTTGCGGCCTTGGGCGGCGGCACGGGGAAGTTGACGGCGCCAAAGTCGACGGCGGCGCCGTGCACGAAGAGCGAGCCCGCCAGGTTGAGGGCCGTGTCGACGGCGTCCTTGTTCCGCACCAGGGACGCCAGGTACTGCGGCTTCTTGGGCAGCGACTCGACGGCCTTGAGGATCTGCTTGACGGGGCCCTCGAGCGCCGCGTGCGGGCCGATCTCGACGAGCACGTCCATCTTGTCCCTCCCCGGCTCGGGCGTGCACATGCGCGTCACGGCCTGCGAGAAGAGCACGGGCTGCGTGAGGTTCTGCACCCAGTACGACGTGTCCAGCTCGGCCAGGCTCACGAGCTTGTCGCCCCTGAGCGACGAGTAGAACTCGACCTCGTGGCCGTCGTCGTCGTTGTCGTTGCCCGCCATGGGATACAGCTCGCCGACCGAGGCGCCGTACCAGCCGGCCACGAGCTCCATGTGGTGCGAGTGGTACGCCGTCTCGACGCGCACCCGCCTGTTGAAGAGCTGCGCCTCCTCGGCCTTTGCCTGCAGCTCCTCGACGGCCGCCGCGTCGCCCGACGCCGTGACGCTGCCGGGGCTGTTGACGCAAGCGACCGTCACGCGGCGGCGGTGGCCTTCGTCGTCGTCTTGCTTGAGCGTCTTGATCAGCCGCCGCACCTCGTCGGGCCCGGCGCCCACGGCCAGCATGCCGCCCCTGAGGTCCGGGTACGCGGCCTTGAGCTGCAGCACCGACTGGCCGCGCAGGTAGGCGACGGCGGCGCACTCGTCGTGCGTCAGCGCCCCGGCCGCGTACGCCGCGCCGATCTCGCCGCTCGAGTGGCCGACGACGGCGTCGGGCCGCACGCCCCAGGCCCTGAGGAGGTCGACCAGCGCCAGCTGCACGGCCGTGCAGCCCGGCTGGCTCAGCTCCGCCTCGGAGATGCGCGAGGTCTTTGCGTCGCGGTCCGTCAGCTCCTCGAGCAGGCTGAAGCGGGCGCCCAGGCGGGCCAGGCAGGCGTCGAAGCGCTCGAGCGACCCCTTGAAGACGGGGTAGGCGGCGATCAGCTCGCGGCCCATGGCGTGCCACTGGGCGCCCTGGCCGGTGAAGACGAAGCCGAGGCGCGGCGGGCGCGTGGACCGTACGGGGCTGGAGGGGGCGTCGTGAACAAAGGTGGAGATGAGGCCGTTGCCCTCGGACCCGACGGCGAAGAACTTGTAGGGCAGGAACGAGCGCCGCTGGCCCAGCGTGTAGGCCATGTCGCTCAGCAGCGAGCCCTGGAAGGCCACGGGCCGGCGCTCCAGGTACACGGTCACGCTGCGCATCTGCTCGGCGAGCGCGGCCTTGCTGTGGGCCGACACGACGAAGACGCGCTTGGGCTCGACGTAGCCGCCTGGCGTGAAGGCGGCGGCGGCACCACCGGCGGCGGCGACCGGCTTGGCCTGGCGGGGAGGAGCGGCCAGAACGGCGTGGGCGTTGCCGCCGCCGAAGCCGAAACTATTAATGCTAGCGTACTTCATGCCGCGCGGCCACGGCATGACGCGGCTGGGCACCCTGACGCCCCACTCGTCAAAGGGGATCTCGCGGTTGCCGTCGCGGAAGTCGTGGTTGGGCAGCAGGTAGCCGCGCTCCAGCATCATGGCCGACTTGATCATGCTGACGATGCCGCTGGCGCCCTCGAGGTGGCCGACGTTCGTCTTGACGGACCCGACCCAGAGCGGGCGGCGCGACGTGCGGCCGTCGTGGAACATGCGGTGCAGCGCCTCCATCTCGAGCGGGTCGCCGACGCGCGTGCCCGTGCCGTGCGCCTCGACGTAGCCCGTCTCGCGCGGGTCCAGCCCGTTGTCGGCGTAGACCTTGCGCATCAGGTCGAGCTGCGCCTCCTTGTTGGGCATGGTGATGCCGTTGGTGCGCCCGTCCTGGTTCAGGCCCGTACCGACGACGACGGCGCGGACGGGGTCGTTGTCCCGCAGCGCCGCCGACAGGGGCTTCAGGATCACGACGCCGGCCCCCTCGCCGCGCCCGAAGCCGTTGGCGCGCGAGTCGAAGGCGTAGGACCGGCCGTCGGGCGACAGCAGCCCCTGCGACGACATGGAGACAAAGTGGTCGGGCAAGAGGTTCAAGTGGCTCGAGGCCAGCACCACGACGGAGGCGTCACCGCTGCGCAGCGACTGCACGGCCAGGTGCAGGGCCGTCAGGCTGGACGAGCAGGCCGTGTCGACGGTGTAGCTGGGGCCGCGAAAGTCGAAAAAGTACGAGACGCGGTTGGCGAGCAGCGACGGCGCGTTGCCCGTCGACTGGTGCATGGGCGCCGTGTCGAGGTCGCGCAGGTTGTTGAGCTCGTAGTCGGTGAAGGACCCGCCCGCGTAGACGCCGACGTTTTTGCCCGCCAGCGACGCCATGGGCAAGCCCGCGTTCTCGAGTGCCTCGTACGCGCACTCGAGGATGAGGCGGTGCTGCGGGTCCATGGCCAGGGCCTCGCGCTCCGTGATCTTGAAGAAGGGCGCGTCGAAGAGCGCGACGTCCTCGGCCAGGAAGCAGCCGCCGGCCGGGTTGTAGCAGCCCAGCCGGTCCGGGTCCGGGTGGTGGTAGCCGTCCTTGCTGAAGCGGTCCGGCGGCATGGGCGTCCACCCGCTCCGGCCCAGGCAGCAGAGCTGGTAGAAGGCTTCCGGATCCGACGCGCCGCCGGGGAGCCGGCACGACATGCCGATGATGGCGATGGGGTCTTGCTTGGGGCCCAGCTCCGTTGTGGGTGGGAGGTCGGCGGGGAGGGGGCTGGTGGTGGCGGTGCCGTTTGTGTCTTTGGCGGCGGCGGTGCCGTTGGTGCCGTTTGCTGCGGCAGGATGGACGCCGCCGCTGGCATTGCCATTGCTATTGCCATTGCTGGCATTTTCTGGAGTGGTGCTGTCGTTCCCGTTTGCACTGCCGTTGCTCACAATAGGAATCTTGTCATCCTCGTTGGCGGCAGCAGGCACATCATCCATCCCCAGGGCGATGCTATCCGCCAAGGGGATGTGCGGTGTATCCTCCTGTAGCGGCGAGTCGACTGGTGTTTCCAAAGGCGAGCTCCTCGCCTCTGATGAGGTCGTGGCTTGGTTAATGGGCTCTAGAGGCGGCAGGACCGGTGGGGCCGGCTGTCTTTGCTCCACCTCGTCTGTCCCCTCGGCCTGGATGGCGCCCGGAGCCATGGCTGGTAGCGTCTGCTTACTTGAGCAGGCTGAGGACCTCGAGGTAGATGCCAAGCACCCCCAGAGCTGTCGACCGGCCCCGAGGAGCTGGTCGGGATCGACCTGTCAGGTGGGTTATCTACTGCCGTGCTCGGCGGTCCTCGATGATCGCGGTGCCGGGATTGTGTCTGCTGTGCTCATGGGCTTGCGTGATTGAGTGAATCGAGATACAAGCGAGCGGGAGAAAGTGACTGGCGCACGCGAGAGGGATGCAGGCCGGTCCAGACGTACCCGGGAATTCGCCTGCCTTTATGAGCCGCGATAGTGACAGCGTCCGCTCCACCTCTGCTTTATCACCCTCGGTCTGGAACGTGGCCGTTTGGAGTGGGCGTCCCGCCTCTTCCGTCGCCTCTCGCCCCATCTCTTGCCTCCGCCTGCTCCTTTCAGGTCCCACGGACGGATGGGCGGGATTCGATAATCTGGCCTCGACCGCATCTCGCGGACCGCACACCCCCTGAACGCGTATGTCCCAATACCATTGCCCTCTCAGGAACGCACCATCCGCATGGCAGGCGCAAAGCTTGTTGCTGGAGACCGAGCCGCCCCCCTGGACGAGCGGGAGCCGCTCTTCTCTGCCATTCATAGCGCGTTCCATAGGGCCGCCGTTGATATTGCCTTGGAGCCCGGCAGTTGCCTCGGGTGTCTTGCGGCGACGACCATGGGCTTGGCGAAGCAACCACCCTTGCTCGTGGCGGCGGCACCTTTTTTGGTGGCGGCTCTGGAGAGATATGGGGACCGTACCCCAGACGCCAACTCGCAGGATACACAATGTCAACCCAACATATTATCAAATGAGCCGAACCTGTCGGCTTTCTCAAGCTGGGTGCATGCAGGGTGTTGCATGCCGGACCAGAACATTAACCGGGTCCTCCCCCTTTTTCCTTTTTTATCTAATTTGCTTATCTTGCCCCTGGAAGGTCCCTTTTCGGGAGTGCTAACGCATTCTGTGTATAATGCGACGGCGCTATTGGCCGTCAACTATCCGGTTATATGTCGTCTCCCAAACCGTGGCCCTCAAAGCAGGCCCGGCGAGAGGCTGCACACGCACACCTCATTCCAACATCCATATCGGCTGTATTGGCACCGTTCGAGAGCTGACGCATTCTCCCGTGGCTGGGAGCAAAGCGGATCACCTGATGGCAGCAATGGTTGCTCCATATCCAGATTCTTTTACGCCTTGCTCGCTGATATCGTCAATGCCCATGCCGTACCGCCTCGGCTAATCAGCTTCTATCCTCAGGGCCAGACCTATCATGCGGATGGGGCCCCTGGACCCAGATGTCAGGGGTTCCTCCGTGATATCCTCTTCCATTATGGGGGATCTGTACTTCGTATGCGCCAATATCGCCGCCTGATGCTGCCGTGCGCTGGAGATAGTCTATCTCTACTCGGCTCGTCCCTCCGCGGAGCCCCTTTGACACTGTCGTGCTGGACCGAGGCCGCGTGTCTGTCACTCGCTTCTAGTCTAAACGAAACGATGATGTGTGCGTGGCGTTGCAGGCGATACTGCATCTCTTGTTCCGTTAGTCACAAGCCACTGAATTCTGATATGGCACTAGAGATTGCCAGGGCTAAGCTTGGAAGTGCAGGGCTAGCTCGCAAGATTTGGGGCTAGATATGGATTCTATACACGCGTAAATATTTGCAGATAGTACCGAAACTGAAAACCGCGACATGATAGCAGAGAAAAGAGTAAACCATGACGAGAAACATTGCAAGTAGCTCCAACAAACGAAGAAGGAAAAAGGAATAACCCGAGACGCCTATTTCTTGGTCGGGTTCCTGAAGAAAAGCGAGAAGACGTCCCTTGCCCAGCCTATCCAGCCGGCTACCTGGGCGTACGCGGTCATGAGCTTGTTGTACCTGTAAACAAAACCCTCGAGGTTCTCGTAGTCGTGGGCGTAGCACTCCCAGGCGGCCTGGTTGCCCGGCCACTGGCCCTTCATGCCCGCCTTGGCGGCCGCCTCGTTCTCGGCCGGCGACAGCTCGGCTATGCGGGTGCGGCCGTCCGCCCCGTCGTCGACCTTGAGGCGCGGGCCCACCACGACGGCCCTGCCCGCGACCGTCTTGTCGGCGACGAAGCGGGTGCCGGCCTCGACCACGTCGGCGACGGCGGCCTTGCCGCTCCCCGCGAGCACGAACATGACGCCGTTGGGCACCATGGGCGTGTCGACGAAGCACGGCAGCAGCATGTTGACGCGGATGCCGCGCCAGAAGCACGGGGTGCGCAGCGTCCGGAACAGCGCCGTCACCCCGTGCTTGGACGCCGTGTACTCGGGCGCCCCGACCAGCGGCAGCACGCCGCCGATGGACCCGATCAGCAGCAGGTGCCGGTCCCGCTGCGCCCGGAGCTTCTTGAGCCGCGCCGCGAGGTCCTCGGGCGTCTCGTCGCCGTTGGGCTGGGGCTGTTCACTGTTGTTGTTGTTGTTGTCGTCGCCGCCGCCGCCCTTGACGTCGTTGCGGGCCAGCCAGAAGAGCCCCAGGTGCACAGTGTACATGACGCCGATGAGGTTGATGTCGAGCACCTTGAGGTTTGGCGCGGGCGGGTCCTCGGCGTCCAGCCCTCTAGGGTACTCGAACGAGCTGCCGCCGCCCCCTGCGGCGCGGTCCTCGTGGCCCAGGCCGCCGATGCCGGCGTTGGGGACGACAACGTCGATGCCGCCCGTGGGGCTGGCGCGGGCGCAGGCGCGGAACAGGGAGACCTGGCTGGCCCAGTCGGCCACGTCACAGCGCTGGAAGTGGTGGTGCGGGCTGCCGGTGGAGGCGCGCAGCGACGCCACCAGGGCCTCGCCCGCGCGCTCGTCGACGTCGCCGACGAAGATGTGGGCGCCGTGCGACGCCCACTCGCGCGCAAAGGCGGCGCCCAGCCCGGACGCGCCGCCCGTGATCAGGACCGTCTTGCCGGCGCACCCGGCCCGGTCGTAGGGCGCCGACATGTCGACGGGCGCCATGGCGCGGATGATGACCTCGACCGGGTCCATCTTCTTCTCGCCCAGGTTTGCCATTTTGTTTTACTTTCTTGGGGATGCAGCTTCTGTGTTGGCTTGCACGGGCTGCTGGCCGAGCCGCTTGTTTTGGTGGCAGCACGTCACTGCGTCGCGATAAACACCGAGTATATCCTGAGAAGGGCGTTCTACCCTTTCTGGCTGACAACAGCAGACCCTAAGATCTGCAACTTTTTTAAAGGATCAAAAAAAAGAAGTCGGAACCCGGCACCGCTGCCGACTACCTTGCCTTGCTCCGGTTTGTCTCCGACAACTAGTCCCAACGGAACGCCTTTCCGACCATGTAGACAGGCTGTCCCCAGTTCGCCTGTTGTCGTCACTCTGACCTGATTTCAGTTCACAGATCTGCTGCAAACAGAACCTATCCGACGCAGCTTTCCCGGAGTCCGCGGGGGCCACACCATCTGTGTCCATAGGCAGTCACGGCCAGGGACATATGCCTTTTCCCTCACATCAAAGCGGCACGAGGCAGCGGCATTGAACAAAAACGTCACCCACGGCCCGGTTCGGGAACAAGGCAATCTGGGTGAACAAGAAGACGCGCGTGCTTCGCAAGCACCAAGCCCGTGAGCGCTTGGTTCCTGAGCCTTATCTCCCGCAGCCGGGACGGGTGCCATCTCTCCGCAGCCTTCTTTTTACCCCCCACACCCGGATATGATGCCGCCATCCACTCTACCCGCGCATCAACAACGTTCCATTTCTCGCAGCTAATTGTTGCATACATATCCATATCCCGCTCTCTGCGGCTCGACACCGCTTAACGAAGCCCCGTCGATTTGCAACTTCCTTTTCCCTTCGTGGAACCCGGTGCAGCAAACCCGCGCGTGCCCAACAAATGCACGCCAAGCCTTCCAGCACGCTCTGTGGCACGCCAAGGACGGCGGGCAGGTTGGATGCAATGCATAACGGCTCGCTCGTGCCGTCCGACGTCTTGATCGCGGTGCCAAGGTGGGCGTGGATATGTCGTCGACTTGAGCTTGATGCAACGAGGATAATGCTAGCTGTTAATAGCTCCGTCTTGCCCTAATTATCGCTCCTTTGGCGTTTGTTGTCACTTTGGCCAGTCATGACAATTACTCATTCAGACACAAGCGGGGGCGACAAACGACGCAAGTTTGCGTGGAAAAACTTGAAAGACGTGGAGACCTGGGATGGCAGCTTGCCCGAGTCATTATCCAACCTCCATAGTAGGCCAGCCCTGTTATGTAGCCCAAATCTTGTGACGCCGCGGTAGTGTAGTGGTTAGCACATTAGGTTTTGAGACATCTCCAAATCCTCCTGAGGACCCAGGTTCGAACCCTGGCCATGGCTGCAATAACTTTTTGGCGATTTGTTAGCTGCAATACAATTATTAGTAGCAATTTTAAACGTGTCCATTGCGCTCCGCTAACAATCTTGCGATATTCTGTACGATTCTATGTGTTGTAGTTTTGTCGTAGCCGACTCCAATTATGGCTGCATTTCTCCAATTCTTCGCTTAGTGTCCATTCGGGATGGTTGGGTTTCCGTCTCCAGCCAGCTCCCTCAGCCACGCCTCCAGGTTGGCGGCAAACCCCTCTCCAATCGCCTCTTCTATCGCGCCCTCCTGCCAGCAGATGGACGTTTTCAGCCCCTTGCCCTTGACGCTGACGGTGCTGATCTCTAGCGCGGCGCCAACGATGTTGGCGCCGCAGTGGAACTCGGCGTCGTCCACGGTCCAGCGCTCCTCCCCTTCTGCCGCCCCGCCGCCGTCGATGACGCCAATGTTGGTGACGAGCCACGACGCGTCGCGCGCCCGCTTGAACTTGGCCTTGAGGAAGTCGTTCCAGTTGCCCACCGCCCTCATGACGCCCATGACGTCGTCCTTGGGCCCGGCCTCGATGCGCCGGTCGATGTCGCTCCGCGCCATGACGGCCGCCGTCCACACCAGCTCCCGCAGGGGACCAGGCAGCGTCCCCTTGGGCGCGCCGCCCGCCGCCGCCCACGCGCGCCGCATCTCGGCCACGGTCGGCGGGAAGAACTTGTGCGTCAGCGACGAGACGTAGTTGCCCATGGCGCCCGTCGGCTCGAACCAGGGGTACTTTTTGCGCCACCTGCGGTTGCCGGCGCCGCCGTCGGCCTGCTCGACCTTTTCGTCGGCGAACCGCCGCGTGTTCATGGCCGTCACCGCCGCGAACCCCCTCGCCAGCCCCTCCCTGTCGCCGCCGCCGCCGCCGTCGGCGAGCTGCAGCGACAGCGAGGCCAGCGCCAGCGCGTGCAGCAGGCCCGTCAGCGTCGTGCCGCGGTCCCGGCAGCGCCGCAGCAGCGGTCCCAGGTCGGCCGCGGACGTCTCGATGATGCGCAGCCGCGACTCGGGCCGCCCGCCGCCGTGCTGCTGCTGCACGCGGGGCACCCAGTGGGCCAGCGTGGCCCGCTCGTCGCGCGGCGTCAGCGACGCGGGCCGGTACTCCTTCCACCCTTCCTTGGCGGCGAAGACGGCCGAGATGGGGAAGACGACGACGTCGTCCTGCGCGGGCGGGAACCGGTCCTTGGGCGTCGAGACGGGCAGCACGTGGGCGCCGTCCTGAAGGGCCGGCGCCGCACCGCTGCCGCTGCTGCTGCTGCTGTTCAGGTGGCGTAGCAGCGACCCATGGAACATCCTGCCGCTCATGCCGTCCAAGTGCGCGTGGTTCCACACAAAGAGCACGTCGACGCGCTGCCGGCCCAGCCAGGACGCGATGACCCTCCAGCCGGGCCGGGCCTCGAAGTCGGTGAACTCGGTGTCCAGCTGCTCCTGGACCAGCTTGTGGCGCTGCCGCCCCGCCTCGGCGTCGTCTGCGGCGGTTTCTGGGAAGCGCCATTCGATGTGGTCGGCGAGGTTGATTTTGTCCAGCTCGACCCAGGAGGGGTCACCAGTGGCCTCGCCTATGAGCCCGACGCGCAGCAGAGGGTGCTCCAACACCACGCTAGCGACGGCCAGCTCCAGCACCCGGGCCACTGCGGCAGCCCCCGGGTTCTCGCAGGCGGCCCCGGGAGCTGCCGTCTCCAAGACGGAGCGGGGGATGACATAGCGGCACAGCACCGAGGTCCCTGTGTAGTATCGGCAATGGTGCATGCCGATTTGGTACTTTTCTCTGAAATGGGTGGCAATACCTTGTTAGCTGCGGCTCGCAGTCCACTTGGCTCGCCTAGCACTTACAAGTTCCCCAGCTTCCGCAGCACGCGGGGTTTCGGTGTTGTCTTGTCGCGGCTCATGGTGTAGACCAGTGGCGTGGTACTCCTAGATTTAACAGGCCAATCTTCTCGCCGTCTGCCGCTTTATCCAACACCACCGGGCCACTGGGACAGCTCCTGGTTTATATACAGCAGCAGTCACAGCGTCGATGCATCAACACGCGCTTCCACGCTCAGGGGTCTGAATACGCACGCCCATTCATTTGCCTGGCAATTCGCAGCGAGACCACGTAACCACAGCCAACACAGCCCCCGAGTCAGGGGCACTCTGAGCCCACCCGTGGGCCGCGAATACGCGACAGGCCCCTGTCTAGCCAATAGCGTAGGCCTGAACACGCGCGCTGGTGAGCGTATTTAGCGTCATCAAACAGTTGCCCCATCTCCGTCGGCGCCGGCTTCAACTCGATCGACGCCTGGCTCCGGGGCGCGGCTCTGCCCTTGCCCGCATTCGCCCATACACTGCGCGGCTGCGAAGCGGAGCCGGCGACATGCACGTCTCACCACATTTTGCCCGTCAGCATGCCGTGCACTCCCCGACAGCGCAACCATATACCTACAGTCGGACCCGAACAGTAAGCAAATATGTCGCATACTTGGAGAACATCGGACTGTGTTAGTCTTTGGATGCCAACACCAACAACACCGCCCACTCGGAAATTCCCACTGTTTATGTTGATTGACTGTTGAGCCACCTGTTGAGATTGGTACCAAAAGGGGCTGGGACACGTGCTGGGCCTTCCCTGCAAGCACAAAGGTCACTTTTTTTTGTCCAGAAGTCATGTCAGTCAATTCGGCGACCAACCTAAACCCAATCCTCGAATTGTTCGTCGTCCCGTTGTGTTCCCAACAGTAGCCCCATCCGCCCACCTGCTGCTTTGGGCGTCTCCGATCGTTTTCTCAATACCAACCTCGTGCAATGACATTCGAACATCGAACCATGAGGGCCATCGCTTTAGCCTTATTGAGTTTCCATCTTATTTGGTTTGGCAACCAAGACTCCATGTCTGCGGTTACGTATAGTCACTGCATCGACGCAAAGCCCTACTCGACAGCCACAAATGAGAATGTCATGACCCAAAACGGACCGAAGAATTGCCAAAGTGCTGACCTCCAGCCACCCCGCCAGGTCGCATTTAGAACCACCTGCTGCACCTCGCCCCTCCCGCCGCCCGGGTGGGTGCTGCCACGCTTACCCCTAGGGCTTGCCCCGGGCGGAGGAGTTCTTTGAGTGCTTGCATAACACCATGCCCAAACGAGACTGTCAAGTGCCGAGGCAGGGGGGCTGGAGGCGACGGCACAGTAAACAATATTCGGCCGCGCCTCCACGAGAAGAACGTCTCCAGAAGAAGCCAACCAGGCATTGGTAGTTCTGGAACACCAACGTTGTACAGGAAAATACCATACAGATGGGAACGGTGGTTTTGGCAACAGCATTGCCATTGTCCAAGTTCATAATGCCCGCCGTTTATAAAAGTCTGCTGGGGAGCCGTCTTCTCCCACGACCGCGACCTAGCAACCAGCCTACAACCATCACCCTCGAATAATATCTGATTTTTCACACCGCGCAAAAAAGTCACAACACTCTAATATCAAAATTTCCCCAGCCGTAAAAACAGCACACAAAAAAGTTCACCAGCACTACTCCCACAACTTCCAGCATCCTTACCACCCGCAACCATGCACCTCCCCTCCCTCGCCGTCACCCTCGCCCTCCTCGCGGGCGCGGCCCAGGCCCTCACGCCGGACCAGCAAAAAGCCCTGGACGCGCACAACCAGGCACGCAAGGACCCGACCCTCAAGCAGAAGCGCGGCGACCTGTCGTGGGACGCCGGGCTCGAGGCCGACGCCGCCGCCTACGCCCGGGTCCTCGCCTCCAAGGACGGCAACCTCGAGCACGCAAAGGACCGCAACGACGCCGGCGAGAACCTCTACATGTCATTCGGCGGGCCCGGCGGGAACCTCTTCCTCGACGCCTCCAACGCCTTCATTGGCGAGAAGAAGCTCTATGTCCCCGCCTGCCCGCCCATCTCCATGAACAACCCGGCGGAGCAGCAGGCGTTTATGGGCTACGGCCACTACAGTGAGTTTTCTTTTTGTTCCGGGCTCCCTCTCCTCGCCCACCACAACTTCCCTTGCCTGCTTCTTCACTCCCTATGTTGGAACGCTTTGCTGACAGTCACACTTTCGCCCCCCGCAGCCCAGTGCGTCTGGCCCAGCACCAGCAAGGTCGGCATGGCCTCGGCCGTCTCCAAGAGCGGCAAGCACTACGTCGTGGCCCGCTACCGCCCCAGCGGCAACATGATGGGCCAGTCCGCCTGCTAGAGGGCGACCGCCCCCATCATATGACGACGGTCTAAACCCGGCTCACGATTCCTGGTCTTGTTTTTTCGACATGAAGTAATGATTATCTGCATACCAACGGCGTTTGGCTAATGTTCTTTTTATTCTCTTCAGCTGTCTTACCTAGAATATTTACTCTTTTGTTTTCTTAGTGTGGGTTAACTACTAGTCTGGCAGGTTCGGCCTTCGGATTTTATTTACCGTAAATAATAGCTTGTTTATTTATCTGCTATTTCTCGCACGATCCGCCTCGCCTTTGCCCGTCCCATCTTCCGTTATGTTCCAGCCAACTTCTAGGCGCCCATATTTACGGCGCATCCTTCGCCGAAGGAATCGACGAACCCATGCAAATGGTACGACGGTTGTGCAACCCAGCAGCGGGAACCCAGCTCAGCTCCATCACGTCCCACCAACCACCTCTTTGCACAACCACCCTGCCTGCGCCTCATCCCTTTATCTCTCCGCGACTCTTTTTTCGACTCCACGGAAGCCACCGGCCAGGTTTCCCCGGCCTCGAAACCTCACGCGATCAGAGTCCCGCCGTTCTGCAAGCCTGCTCCACCAAACAAGACAGCCGGAGACCGGAAGGACTGCTGGGAGCACCCTACGTGTCGGACAGAGGGTACCCCCAACTCTCGTTTTTTGTCTTAGCAGCTGCGCTTAGGTTTGCGGAGACAAGGGATGCGCAAATTCCACCTCTCGGTCGGGGCTGCCGGCGGCCACATGCTGCGTCCGCGGTCCACGAGTCAGCGCCAGGAACGGCGCTGCATGTCTTTCAGGGAGCCGTTGTGGAGTCTTGGCATTGGCCGCTTACACTAGCTTCAGATGAAGGGGCTTAAACTGACCGGGCTGCAAAGGTCATGATGCTTTGGGCTAGATAGCACAGGCGATATTCCGTAGACGAGATATAAAAGGGAGGTGGGCCGTCACTAGATCAGGTCGGCAGAGTCGAGGCCAACAAGACCGCCGCTATTTCACAGCACGCCTCGTTACAAAGGAACGGCCGTTAACAGTCGTTGAATAACATTCGTTTTATTTACATCATGTATCGTCCATACAAGCCCCATGTTGCCACCAGGCTGGTCGGCCTCCTCATGATGGCCCTTCTAGCTGCACCTGCCTCGGCCGTCAACGGCAAGGCCTCCTTCTACGGAGGCAACCTGGCCGGCGGCAACTGCCTGTTGACGTCGTACACGCTCCCCGCCGGCATATTTGGCACGGCTATTGCCGGTCCTAACTACGAGAGCTCCGGCATGTGCGGCGTCTGCCTCAACGTCAAAGGACCCAAAGGCAGCATGAAGGTCATGGTCAGTTCAAACGATGAGTCATTTGTATGGAGGTTGAGATGGGGCACGGCAGAGAAGCTAACTGTCGTTCCATTGAACCCATCCAGGTCGTCGACAGTTGCCCGGGCTGCCCAACCAACCAGCTCGACCTGTTCCAAAACGGCTTCCCCAACATCGGCGACCGAAACGCCGGCGTTGTGCCAGTCAGCTGGGACGTGACTCCCTGCGGCATCAAGGAGCCGCTGAAGGTGCGCAACAAGGACGGCACGTCGCGCTTCTGGTTCGCCATGCAGGTCTTCAACAGCGACAAGAAGGTGACGGCGCTCGACGTCAGCACCGACGGCGGCAGGACCTGGCAGCCCACGGCCCGGCGCGACTACAACTTCTTCGAGAAGCCCGGCGGGGGCGGCGGCTTCGGCGCCGACGCCGTCACGGTCAGGGTCACCTGCGCCGGAGGGGGGACGGTCACGATGCAGAACGTTGGCATGACGAGCGGGGCGACGTTTACGGCAGCTGGGAACTGCTAAGTGTCTCCTGAGATGTGTGTTTTTTGTATTATGACTTTATGCTAGCTAGCACCGCATTATGGTACTTTTGTGCGCCTGCGCGTCATTCGAGTGATGTGCTATGGAGACAGACCCTCCATGCTTGGGTAGAGAAGCGTGTGGTGGTCCACAGTATCGCGGGCTTGCTTAGGCTGAACTAGGTCGAGCTCCAATCTCCTTTCATACTTCCTTGCACTGATCTCACCACCAGCTCAAGAAGAAGAGACTATTGAGTTCAGATATCCGTCACTCTTCCCTGGCTAGATCCCTCGTCCGACAAACCCGGATCCAGATGACGTAGCTCCTCCACCGCATCTCGTGCTTGGCCTTGTTCAGGCGTGGTTGTTCTTGGCGGGAGCGGCCTTGGCCAGCTCCTCCTCGAGCACCTTGGACAGCTTGCCGATGCTGGGGAAGACGGGGATGCTGTAGCGCTCGCAGACGAGCAGGACATTACCGCGCCTCCAGTAGCCGTCGTTGCAGACGACCATGCAGCGGCGGCCGGAGCCGGCGCGGAGCCCGAGCTCGAGCAGGCTGACGGGGGTCTTGGGCAGCTCGCCGAGGGCGGCGCCGCCGTTGGTGCGGCCCTCGAACGAGGCGGCGTCGAGGCGGCCGCCGAAGTGGATGACGAGCACGTCGGCGCGCTCCTGCATGTCGAGCTCCCAGCGCACGTGGTCGGTGAAGGATTTCGGCGACATCTCCTCCTCCCACTCGGCGTCCCAGTCGGGCCGGAACGGGTCCGCGATGGTGACGTGACGCAGGTGCGAGAGCGCGTCGGCGAGCTCGTCGCGCCAGTCGGCGTCGGGTGGCGACGTCATTCCCGCCAGGTAGACGACCTTCTGCGCGTCGTCGATGGGCTCGCGGCCCGGGGCCTTGATGACTTGGGCCATGGTGCGGTTGCTGCTCAGGACTGGGGTTTGAGCTGAATGTGAGGTTGGGTCAGGGTGTGAGACTAATTTGAAGGTGGGGTTAGAGCGTGAGGCTGATTTGAAGGTTGGGGCCAGGACGTGATATTTGATTTGAGCAGTGCGCTGGAGTGTGACTTTTTTTCGTGGTTTGGATTTCTCTAGAGTTTTCTCTGTCTTGTGGTGCCGGTTTTATATCTGGGCCTACTCACTGGTCTCGCTGGGTCCGTCCAATCTCAGGCGGGGTGGGAAATTCTTCCTGAGCTCGATATATGCCCGGCGGTCATACGAGACAGGTGACTCGTAGGCCGGCGGGACATAGGCACTCGGGTCAGGCAAGCTGCCGATGTGCTTCCTCTTGATCTCGTCATACTCCCGACGAGCTTGATCCGAGAGAGGGCGCCCGAGATCAGGGGGAATGTATGCGTTAAACCCTCTCTGCGGAGGGTGGATGGGCAAATCGAACGGGGGCTGGATGGTAGAGTCCATCGTGGCGGCGTATCTCAGAGATTGATGGTGTTTTTTAGCCCTCCTTCCGGATCAGGCAAACTTGGTGCGTGTTAGAAAACTAGGTAGGTAGTTTGCGTGCACGGCTGCGCCGCCCACGCACGGCGGCACAGCCACCCGATGACTATCGACACCCCCCTCACCACCTCCAGGCCTGCCAGCACAGCCACAGCCTCTTGCTCTCGCGCAGTAAACCCAGGACCCGAGACGCCGTGCCCTGCGTCGGGTTTGTCTCTGTCTTACTGCGTGCTTCGTCGCGCTGGGGGGCAACTGACAACATGCGCCTGCTTAGGCTGTCTTGGCGTATCTCAGCCATCCCTGGTGCTTGGCGCTCGAGGGTGAAGATAAAGCAAGCCGCACCTTCCACTTGGAAATGTTTGCAATATGTTTGCAAGATGCACATAAACAAGATACAAACCAGGACTCTTTTCTAATATTTGCTATCAAAACTACACGTCGACAAGCACCAATCACACCAGCAAACCGCCCAAACACCACCAAACCAACACCGCCAACACCTCCCCAATCTCACTAACCCGACAGTAGGCACACACCCCCCAACATAACGTCCACCATGCAACTCACCTCCCTCCTCGGCCTCGCCGCCCTCCTCGCCACCACCGCCCTCTCCGCCCCTATCGACCGCCGCTCCACGACACAACAAAACCCCGTCGTCCCCGACATCGGCAGCAGCAGCACCACCGCCATGGCCCACCGCCGATCCCCCGCCTCCCCCCACCCCAACGCCGAGCTGACGCACTACACGCCGGGCCTGGGCGCGTGCGGTATCACCAGCGGGCCCGGCGAGCTGGTGGCCGCCATGCCGCACGCCCTGTTCGACGCCAAGACGCCCGCCGGGAACCCCAACAAGAACCCGCTGTGCGGGAGGAAGCTGAGGGTCCGGGGGCCCGACGGCAAGCGCGAGGTCGTCGTCACGGTGGCGGACCGCTGCCCGGCCTGCGTCGGCAACTCGCTCGACCTGAGCGAGCCCGCCTTTGCCGCGCTCGCCGACCTGGGCGTCGGCAGGATCAAGGGCGCCTCGTGGACCATGCTCGGGCAGGCGTGAGTACTTTGGTCGCCCCTTTTCTTCTACATCCTCCTCCGCTTCTTCTTATTCTCTTGTCCTTTTTGACTGTGTTACATATATCCATTTCTTCTTGTCACTGGCTCCCACATATCTCCCCTCCCCTGGGGCTTGTTGGTCCGTCGTAGGGTTACCCTCGTCTTGTTTAGCGTTCCGGAGAAAATATAAATCCATGTATTCAAATCTTACCCCTTGTCATCGTGAATGCTACGTCCTGTGAATGTACCGAATGCCTTGTATATTCAAGCACCATCACCACCACCACCACCATCACGAGAGTTTCGATTCTATGGGCTTCTCCAACCGGATCAAACAAAGTTAATGTATACACAGTGGTGTAATTGTATGTGTCGAATCCTCGACAATGCTCATAAGGCTGTACCAATACAGAAGGAATTACAACGTAACGAAAAGAAACCATCATGTAAGAAGCCACGCCTCATATAACACCCTCCTATGTTGGACCCTGGAGTCCATCTAATCGTTGCTGTGAAAGAACCCGAAAATAAAAGATACTATTATTCCCCCATCAATGCCATGCACGCTTTTAAACCCTCAAACCAGCGGAGCAGACCTCTTGCCAGGGGTGGCCTTGGCCGGGTCTCGGTAGAAGAGGTTCATGCGCACGCCGGCGCCGCACTTTGTCTTGCCCGTCGCATCGCCGGGGCAGTTGAACGAGCACTGAGACTCGCTGACGTTTGCTCCAGGGGTGCCGCCGCCGTTGCCCTTGAAGTTGACCACGTCGCCACACCAGCACTCGCGGCCGTACTCGATACCGGCGAACTTGAACATCCAGCAGGCCTGGAGGCACTTGTCTTGCGTCATGTCGGCAAGGTTGGCAATCTGCTTGGCGAACAGGCGGCCCGAGGACGGCTCCGACACGCACCCGTAGTAGCTGAAGTTGGAGTTGCCAGGGTAGAGCGGCGGGGTGACGGTGCTGCTGGGGGTAGCCGACGAGGTGGTCGAAGTTGAGCTTGTGCTCGATGTAGAGCTGGAGGAAATGGAGCTAGAGGTTGTCGAGGCGCTCGTCGACGAAGCAGTCGATGTTGAACTTGTGCTCGATGTTGAGCTCGAGGTTGTCGAGCCCGAGGTGACCGAGGGGCTCGTTGATGAAGTAGTCGATGCTAAACTTGTGCTTGATGCTGAGCTTGAGCTCGATGTAGAGCTTGAAGATGTTGAGCTCGAGGTTGCCGTCGACGAAGCCGAGGAGCTCGTCGACGAAGTCGAGGTGGTGGCGTCAGATGTGCTGGAAGAGGACGAGGTAGCGCTAGTCGTGGTGCTTGCGGTCGAATCGCTAGCGGTAGAGCTAGTGCTGGTGGAAGTAGTGCTCGACGAGACGTCAGTAGTGGACGTGGAGCTGGTCGACGACACGTCACTGGTCGAGCTAGCGCTAGCACTTGTGCTGGTGGAGGCACCAGTGCTGCTAGAGGTGCTGGTCGAGGAGTCGGTGGCGGTAGAGGCCGCCGTGCTGGTTAAAGTGTTGCTCGTCGAGCTGTCGGTCGAAATGCTGGAGGACGAGGTTGGGGTGGCGCTGGTCGATGAGGTGGAGGAGCCAGTGGTGGTGCTTGACAGGTCGGTGGTGACAGCACTCAGCGACGAGGTCGTGTCCGTGCTGGTCGTCGACAAGGCTGTAGACGACGAGCTGGTCGAGGTCGTTGCAGAAGATGCGGTAGAGCTGCTAGATGTGCTGGAAGCACTGGTGCTAGAGGAGTTGGAGATGGGAAGGGTGGTCTCCAGCTGGTAGACCTGGTTCCGAGCCCCAGCACCGCAGTACTCGGTCTGGTTGTCACGGCAGAGGCTGTTGCACTGACTGTCTGCGACGAGGCCGACGCCAGGGGACTGCGTAAACTCGTTGTTTCCGCACCAACACTCGCCGAAGTACTGGAGAGCGATGTACTTGAACCCTTTGGCCTTGCAGGTGGAGACACATCCGGCAACCGTGCGCACGTCGCCGGTATTGCCGCTGGATAGAGAGCGACCGCCGGGTGTCTCGGAATAGCAGCCAATGTACTTGTATCCGTTGACACCAGAGTTGATGTACGGACCACCCGGGTTGACAGGCGTGTTGGTTGGCGACGAGACTGCGCTGGTGGTAGTCGACGGGTTCGCAGGAGGGTTTGGCGGGATGGTCGTGTTGGTCGCCCACATGGACAGATGAGCGTTGCCGGCGCCGTCGTTCACTCCGTTGCCGCCACACATCTGGCCAATGTCGCCAGAGCAGTCAAAGTTGCAGTTGCCCTCGAGCACTTTCAGCTTGGGAATGGTGGGACCACCCCAGCACTCGCGGTGGTACTGGATACCGCAGTAGGCGTAGTTCTTGGTAGCGCAGAGCTGCAGGCACATATTGGAAGTCATGGCGTTGTCGGCACCAAGCTGCTGGGCGAGCTGGCGGCTGGGATTGTTCTCACGGAAGCAGCCAATATAGCGATAGACGCCTTGGCTGTCGGAGTTGAGCGGTCCACCCTGCTGGGCAATGGCCTTGCAGTCGAAGGGGACATCCACTTTTCCGAGCGAGAGGTCGTTAAAGTTGAAAGTCCAGGCGACCTTACCAGTGTAAGAGTCGGTGTTCCACTGCGCCTTGGGCGGGGCGCAGAACATGTTGGCCTCGGAGACCTCTCCAGGGTCGAGGCTGATACCTTCACCCAGCTCCGACGCGGTCCTGGTCGAAATGATTCCACCGACACCAAACGGAGGCTTCGAGATGGTGATGCGCAACGGAAGAGAGCCAGGAGGCGCGCCGTTGCGGAGACGCAGCTTCAGGCCCTTCTCCGTGTTCTGCAGAACATTGCCAAACGTAAGAGATGAGGTCTTGTCCCAGGTGACCCAGCCGGATCCGTCGGCCTTCTCCCACTCCAGGACAGCGACGGGCGCGGCGCCGGTGCTAGCAGTGACACTGATGACGGCGTTTCCGCCGCTGGTGGTCATGACGCAGTAGGCAGTGAAGTTTCCGATTTCAGTGGGGTCAAAGATGACCGACACGGCCTGCTGCGACTCCGGGTCCATCGATGTCGACGGGAGGTTTGAAAAGGTAAAGTGGCCGATCTTGCTGGTGCCAGCAGTCCCCGCAGTGTCGTTGCTGCCAGTCTGGCCCGGCGTGGTGGTTGGATCGACGAAGGGGCCCTGGGGTCCAACAAGCGAGAACTGCGTGCTCTGGATAGCAAGAGCAGCCTTGCCCAGGTTGGAAATGATGACGCTCTGAGACGTAGGTCCAGCGCCGAGCGGAACCTGAGAGAAGATGATATTGCTGGGCTGAACGAACAGCAGCGGACCTGAGCTTTCAGCGGTGCCGCTCACACGGACTGACGTGGTCTTGCTATAACCGCCGGCGCTGTTGGTAGTGCCAAGCACAACGGTGCCGGTCGAGTCTCCAACCTTGGTTGCCTTGTAGTGAACCTTGAAGGTGAACTTGTCGCCGGCCGCCACGGTGGCAGGGAGCTGCGGCACACCGACGACAGAGTACTCGGTGGAGCTGAGGGTTGCGCTGTTGACAGTGGTGGCAATCTTGGCCTCACAGGTGATGGTCTTCTCGGGAGCCTCAACGCCGACATCGATCTTGCCAAAAGACCCCGCACCCGTGCAGTTGAGCGGCGAGCTAGTTGGGGCACCATAGGCAGTGATGGTACCCTGGCTGGGGACGTACAGGATACCGTTGCCAAGGACAGCGCGGGTGAACTTCTTGATGTCGTTGAGCTTGAAACCCTTGATGAGCTTCAGCTTGCCGTCCGGTCCGGGGATGGCCTCGTGGACCTTGATGGACGCGCCCGAGGGGAAGTCGCTTCGCACGTCAGTAGTCCAGAGCAGACCCGTTCCGGGCTGCCCGTTGAGCGAGGTGACAGTGCCGTGGCTGATACCGAGGATACCACCGTTCCTCTCGGGAGTCTCGCCAACCTTGGCGAACGAGGGGACCCCGTTGGAGCAGGTGAACTTGATGACGGTGGTGGGGTTATTGATGACAGGGATGTAGATGTAGCCGCCCTCGCCGGGGTAAACACCAGCACCAGCGTAGACCGAGTTCAGCTGCAGGATCTTGCCGAGAATCCGGTCGCGCGAGCCTTTGGGCTGGGGGAAGGGAGTCTTGGTGCGGTAACCACCAAGGTCATCCAGGTTCAGGAAGTAGGTCCAGCCCGTCTTGCCGGTGACGACACCGATACGGCGGACGCTCCCGCAAGAAAACTGCGAGGGAAGAAGCTCGAAGGGGCTCGTACCAAGATCGTTGTCGGCGCCGTCGAGCTCCTCCTTCTCCTCGGGCATGAAAAAGTCGACCACATTGAGCTTGCCATCCTCCAAAATGGTGTGGTGGACCACAGCCTCATCGAGCGCGGTAGGCGGGCTGCGGCCACTGACGGGGATGTCGTGAAGCTGTGAGGCATAGCCGTTGCCGGTGGCGTAGAACATTGAGCCCTTGTCGTCAGAAGCCAGGCCACCGCCAGACATCCAAATGCCAGCACCCTTAGTTGGGCTGCGCACATCTTGACCCAGCGTCGCAAAGTGCTCCACGAGCTTTCCAGATGTCTTGTCGAACCCGATGATGCGGCCGGTGAAGTTGTAGAGCACGCAGTGGGAGCCAAAGGCAACGTAAACGAACTGACTCCCTGCCGGATGCAGCATTCCGGGCCGCTGGTTGTGCATGCCGCCGTTGAAGGGGCGGCCGACGTTGTTGCGCGCATCCTGACCCTCGAAGTTGATGGGAAAGTTTGGCCGCGACTCCAGCGTGTTGACATCGAGAGCGTGGATGTTGTACCGGCCGCTGGGGCGACCCTGAGGCTCGTACAGCCGGGACTGGTCCGAGTAGGTCTTGGCCGCGATGTACAAGGTGTCGGTGGCAGGGTCGATGACACCAGTACCGATGATACCAACATGAGGACTAATGTCGTAGCAGAATCTGGAGATGGGGGAGAGGTTAGCCATGTTGCACTGCGACTCACACCCGACTCCGAAATTAACCTGAACCGCGGCTTCACGACGGCCGAGACCTCAACGGCTACGGAAACTACCAACGTCTGCGGGGTGCGAGACAAGGTGGCCAATTTCGCGTCACACCACATCAGTATCATGCCGTGTCCAACAACTTACCCGAGACCGGTCGTGTTCAGGTCCCTCGAAAGGAACGGAATGCCCAGGTTCGTCCTCGCGAGAATCTCACCCGTCTTGGCGTCGAGCTTGTACACGTTGTTCTGGGTCGTGGCCAGGTACAGAAACTGCCGTCCGTTCTCGTCGTTGCCGGGGGTGTAGACAAGGGGCATTGAGAAGAACTCCTCCCGCTCTCCGCCGTAATTGCCAGGAAGCTTGATCTGGAAGATCTGGCCGAAGTCGCTGCTTGCGACAACCGCGGGATCCATGTTCTTGTTCCTACCGATGAGGTTAGATTCCGGTGTTAGCCACTGGTCGCTCACTTCCTCGCACGGTACCGTCCACTATAGGTCCGGCGCAGGACTTTCTGTCTCGTCGTTTTTGGCGCGCAAACTAGGAGCAGGCGGCGCTGCCCAGGACAGAGGCAAAATACGGTTGCGGAAAACGTACGGCTGGTATCCGGCCCTCGAGTTGTCACCACCCCATGTGATGGTGTCAGTAGATGCGAGGCAGCTACCGAGGCTGAGCACCATGGACATGGCGCCCAGCACTCGGAGAAAGCCCCGCGCCGCCATGGTGGCGGGCTGGTGATCTCCGGTGCGGTTGGAGACGGGTCTGCTTGGACAAGCTCGCGATGATCGATTTCGCGAGGCTGGGCCCTCTTGCGCAGCTACGGCTCGGTTCAGGAAGTGAATCCCACGAGCCTATTAATCTTCCGGGTCTGCTTCTGCCGGGTCACGGAAGAAGACAGTCGGGTATCGAGCGAGCGGCAGGGACCGCGATGGCGACAGTGCCCTATGAAAAGAGTGTGGGAACAGACCAGTAAAAGAGTGACTGGATTAAAAGAATGGTCTAGAGGTCTTAACGAAAGTCGGTGCCGTGACGCGGAGCCAAGCGGCAGGAAGGTTGCAGTGCAGACCTTGAGGAGGGTCCAGACGGAGGGGCGGACAGGTGAGGTCCAAAAGGCGCGATCTTCCACTTCATAAATGAGGCCCGCGGCCGGGTAAAGAGTCCGGACACGACCCCCCTGGAGGCGTGGTGTGGGTTCTCGTTCTGGCTCGCCGACCTGGCCGGGCCCGGGATGGCATACCGCCAAGCTGAACGCTAGGCCACAACACGAAGGTCAAGCTTGACCCCCTGCAATCAGGCATTAGAAATTATTGCAGGGGCTGGCGCAGGCGGGCGCGGGTGGAGGTGGAAGCAGAAAAAGAAAAAAAGGAGCTGATTTCCCCAAGAGGGATCCGCGCAAGCGTGTCCACCATGCTAGGGCGCACCCGGGATGGGCAGCCCCTGGCCCTGTTCTTGCGCCATTGGGGTGGGATGGGGGTGGCACTGGCAAGCGCGTGGGTGGCACGGTGGCCAGCCGGTTTCCAATGGCCAACCGCGCCCGTTCCTTGTCATCAATGATGCGTGTGAGTTGTCGATGCTGTGTTGCGTCCCATCCTGCCGACGACGAATTCCGCAAAACTCGATTCCATCTCGACGCTTGTTGCACGGGACCTTGGCGCGCTGCTTTGTCAGTGGCCTCTGAGAGCGGTCAGTATGCGGGGTCCAGTCTGTCTTGCGCTCCATCATGTAGGAACGCACATACAAAGTCTGCCGTCAAGGCCTGTTCCTGCAGAGCAAGGCAGCCGCCCTGTCGAGAGGACTTGGCACAGCAGTAGGTAACCCATGAGATGATGGCGGGCCGCCTGTTGGTTGCCATGTTGGGCGAACCGGGTGCATCGGCACACTGACCTGAGAAAGAAAAGAAAAGACAGCTTGAGCAAAGCCAACACGCTAGCACGGGTTGGTCCTGGGCCCTGCGCACGTCCCACTCCAGCGTGGCACCAGGGCCGCTTGCTCCTGCCAGGCACGCGGCCTCGATTAGGCTTGGCGGCGTCCCCATTTCAGCTCCATAACCGCATAACCGCAGCGGACAAACAGCGCGATGAAGTCATTGGGCCTGCGGCTGGTGCATGCTACATTTCTCCTCCTCCCCTGCATGAGGCCGACAGCACTCGCCTCCCTCCCTGCGGCTCCGGCTCCGTATCTGCCGGTCTGCCTTGGCCCTGCCGTGACCCGATATCACGCCAGCTCGTATCATGCAATGTCGCGCAGTCGCGTCTCTTAGGGCCAAGTGCCCAGAGGCTGCGAAATGAAGCGACGGCTCCGGCAGCCGAAAGTTTCCTTCCTGCCTAGCACACAGATGCTCTTCCCGAAAGTCGACCATGGCGGAAACTTCCGAAAAATAGCACCGAGAGGCCAGCACCAGGCGATGGATGCCCCGGCTGCCGCGTTGGTGATCCTCGCCCAGTGGGGGTTTGGGTTACCGGAGTGATTCTCGCAGCGTTTGATCAGGATCTTCGATGGGCTCGATAGCGACGAACGTACCCTGACTTGGGTGACACGGTGATTGTGGAGCCAAGAGGGGTCCTGGGCCCTCTTTCAATGCAACCCCAAGCTCAGTCCGAGCAAGCGAGGGCCAAGTCCAATTCAGCAATAACACGTCGCCCTATCCTGTGTCTGCGGGAAGTGGGGGTGATAGGGAGGATGGTAGCACCGTCAGTCCAACCAACATGGCAATACCGGCTAAAAATAAAACCACAAATAGAAATCCATTTCAGTTTCCCATCTGAGCGGCCACAGCACAACCAATGTCGCGGAGCCGGGCTAAGCGTCGAACGAGGTCGAACGGACAGCGCTACTCCCGTACTAGAGCCCACCCCGCTTCGCGGTGACGATTACTATGTATGGCTTGGGTGCTTGGTGCAAATCGGCGGCCAGCTCAGGCCTACCTGATGGTTGCTCTGAAAAAAAATATAGCGGATGGTACCACGGTGATAAGACCCTTTCTTGCCCGACCGGGTAACCGCGGCCGGGTGCTCAAAAGCTTGAAATATCACCAACCAGCTAGACGCCTGTGTGTTGGATGTTGGACGCGCGGACAGCACCACCCTGCTAGCTAACCCCTGCCCCCGCCAATATACACCCTTTCGGGAACCCTCCCCCAACACAGAGTTCCATCGCATTTGCATGGCCTCTGCAAGCATACCAGGTATGAACGAAGCAGTACTATCTCCCTCGGATCATGGATTATTGACAGGCGATTGGGAATTCGGCCCGCAAGGCGAGAGAGAGAGAGAGAGAACCTGCAGGTACAGTTTCGTCTATCAACCCGTGATGCGAGCCATCCGATCTACGGCTCCGGGCAAATTATCAGATGGTGCCAGACACATGCGGCGAAAACGAGGATTGGCGAAAAGCTACCCCCTGTGGTGTTTGCAACACACACTGCAGCCCTGCAGCCACCCGCCGCTGACACCCTGCACATGCCTATCCCTTCAAGTGCCGTTAGGCCCAGGTCGCCCGCATAGGAAGGTGATGGGCAAAGGCACCCCTGCTTGTTGTTGTGACTCGGAGGTACGGATTTGCAGGAGCGCGGTGCGAGTATTGCGAGGCACCACTTTGTAATAATGACTGGTGCTGGTACTTCTATCACGGGCTAGAAAAGGTGCAGGTGGAAGTACCGAAAAAATGAACGTTTTTATTGGCTGAAGCACGCGAGATCAGCGACCGGGGGCTCAACGGCACCCAAAGGGATGCTTGCTCTCGAGCCGGCGCCAGCCACACACACATCCCACATCGTCTTCCGCATCCCGTTCTTGGACGGGCGTCTGTGCTTTCGAACGGAAAAAGAGGCGCTCCCGATCGGAACAGCAGGTCTAGACGAGCCGTTGGTCGAGCGCCTTCCATCGAGCGGGACTTGCATGGGTGATGGTTGACCGCAGACCGTGGATGCCATACCGCTGCCGTACCGCTGCCAATCCACCCGACCAAACTTGCTGCCACTAGTTTGCCTGGCCAAACAGTTAGATCAGCCTATTCTCTAATCTTAACTTCCCGTCGGCCAGGCCCTCGTTGCCAGATATCCTGACCCTCAGCTCCCCTCTTGCTGAGGCTGAGATGCAAGGGATATGGCAGTTTACAAACAGCACAGCGACCAACGATCGCTTTGGGCTTCATCTCCGTCCTCAGCTGTCGACTCCGCCTCTCGGATCACTCTCGACCGCGCGGGTGCCTGTGAGTAGTGTTTGCTTTTCTGCCTCCCTTTGTCACTTCTCACACCGCAGGTGCGCACGGGGTGTTTGGGCGCTGCGCAGGGTGGAGATGATGGCGGCTTCCCGCCACCTACCTCTTGTCGTCCTCCTACACGCTTGCACACCCCCGATCATCCTCAACCATCGGAGCAAACGTACCGGAGCACCTAATCAGCACACCTCGGCTCCACGCCAGGTCACGTCCCTAAAAAAAGAAAAAAGAAGAAAAGTTGGTGTGGACGAACATGGATAATCACTTGTGGCTTGATATAGTCTGGCCGCCGCCGCCGGCCCACCTGCGGCCAGAGTATGTGCGGTGACGACACCATATCGTGTTTATATAACCCCATCGTTCGACACCTGCCCGAAGCGGCTTATCAGTCTTGCTCCCCGGCGGACCCGCGCCGCTCGGCAGAGCTGCCGTCAAATATTGACCCCATGCCGTCCCGATGTGGCAGGGACGGCCGCACATCATCTGCAGGACGCCTCGCCCATCGGGCGAAGATCGGCCGCGCGCTCAACACCGTCCCGAACGGTCTGGAACGCTGATGCCAAGTATTTTTCGATATCTAAGAGCAAGAACCCAGTGCCGCGCAAATATGATCGTCAAGACACGTCGCCAAGCCCAAGCTATCTATCAGTATGTCGAATACTAGGCAGCTGGAAACACTGCCGACGTCGCCCCGAAATGACCAGCTGTGTCGTGCTGTGTGTGCTCGGGCTCTCGTGGCCTGACCTGAACAGGGAGGGAGCCTCCCGGCCACAGCCGTTCAAGAAATGTCACGCCACGCAGGTTCCCTTGCGGCACCTATCCCTGGCGTGTCCATTTTTCGGGATCTTGGCACCCGTAAGAGGCTGGCTGTGTTTTCAGGTCCCAAGCTGTCGGAGGCGAGACCCGACAGTTCTTCCCGCCCGCCCGCGCCCCCCCAAAATTGTGGTGTTTCGGGCGGCAGGTGCAAGGGATGGGGAGCTGGCCACGGAAATGTGATATCATGACATACGCGCACGCGCCAGTTGCGGTGAAGCCGAGCGTGCAAGAGTTATTGACCTGACGCGCGGTAAGCGTCCCCGCTAATCTTGCGTGCCCCCTGGACATACATACACAAAAGGCAAATTCGGCATCGACCAACCGCCGCGGGCGTCCGCGGCTGGCACCTGTGCTGTCGCTGCTTGAGTCACGCCAGCCCTGTCGACGGGGATCTCTTCACGAGGCCCCAATTGCCGCTCCTGGTCCCAAAAGGTCTTGGCATAGTAGACTTTTGCTTTGCAGCAATCATCTCCGGTCAACCAAAGCTCGAGTGGATAGAAGCCTTTACCCGACAACTGCAGACTGCGATAAGAAAGTGCGTGACAGGCTCCTTACAGAACCGAGAAGGCCATAACATCCATCTGTAGATCGGGCAATGGTGGAAACCCGGTCCCTGTATCCGCAAGAGGACGCTGTATTCTCGAAATGTGGCACCGAGTTGTTTGGTCTCGTTGCGTCTCGACTTCGTTCTGCTCAGGGGTCTTTGTTGAAAAGGCTCGTCTTTGGTATGGAAGTAATCTGGGCCTGGGTATAAAAAAAAACTTGCTCCGATGTACCTAGGTGCATGCCTATCTAGTGAATATTTGTCTATTACTAGCATCCAAGGAAGATACCGGGTACATACAGAGCTACAGCTTGGTCTGTGACCTCGGCTTGTCAATACAGCAATACTTTCCGCCCAGATAGTCGACTCTATGGCTTCGTTATGCCGAGACTCGAGATCTGAGTGAGACCTTCGGGGTCGCTTATGCTGGTTGCAAGTCATCCGATGGCCCCATCCGGCTCCAAGACAAGAAGCACCGATTACAGGGAGAGCCGCATTGTAAATAAACAGCTCCCAATCTTGGCTAGAGAGAGCGGTGAATCACATGTGTTTAGACAACCTTGCGTAGTTATTTGATGATGGCCTCGCCTGGCCCGGGTGGCAGGTACCACTGCCCAGACACGATGTTGGCATGAAGAGGGGTCAGGACGAGGCGGGAGCCATGTGCGGCCCGTCTCATTGCTCGCATACGGCGGAAACATTGCGGGCCCGGGCTTTTGTTTCTCGCTGGGAAGGCGCGGCAAGCGAAGCTTTGGGCATGATGACCCTCTCGCCGGTTGTGTGCCTTGACAAAGCAGACGGCGACGGCATGACCACGCGACGAGGCGTACCTAATTACGCTGAGGTATGGCTCATGACATTTAGTGATGCTATCACTAATCATTGCGAAAATAAACACATAAGCGTTTATGGTTGATGTTGCTGATGATTTGAGTTATGAAAGATGGCAAACAAATGCCCTGACACCGCATTGTTGAGCATGGCCAGCGCGAGGACCCGGACAGGGCACCGCGTGACCTCGTCGTACCAGCACAACCGGTGCAAATGTAACAGGAAACGAGTAGAATGCAGAGGCAGGTGCAGTCGGTACTTTGTGTCTTTGGCCTTTTGTTGTCACTTCTATTTCCGGCTCGGACTCGGGGTCTGAAAGAGGCACAAGCCCTCGTCAGCATTACCGCTGATATTCCCGAAGGGGGTGCTATGTCTCACCGCCCATTTTCGCTTCCACTTTCCTTTTCCTTTTGCCCGACGAGTTTCCCAGCGCTCTACATGCAAGTAATCATATTGAGTCACCCTCTACTATTTCCGTCTCCGGCTCCAAGACGCTTTTTAACATCAACGGTGGCACATCATTGCTGAGAGCCGTCCCTTTCCCAAACTTGGCCCGCAGCCTTTCCTTCACCCTCTGGATGGCAGACCCGAGTCCCAGCTCGGGGCCCTCGTCGGCCGCGACGAACCTGCGCACCAGGATGTTGAACATGCCACCGAACGCGAGCGCGATGCACGTTGACGTGAAAATGATGACGTTGTAGGGCATGCTGAAATCAGGCGTCGGGAGGCTGAGCAGCAGCGGCGCGGTCCTCAGGTTAGCCCTCCACTTGCTGCTTCCCTTGGTTATGGCCGAGTGTGTCGTGTTCCTGCCGCCCTTGAGGATGGTAATGACGGCTGAGGCGGCGTCGAAGCCGCGATTCGCGTCGGGCGGGTACTCGGTGTAGCGCAGGATGGACTTCTCAAAGTCGTACGTCAGGAACATGGTGGATGCGGGCGGCACGAGCAGGCGGACCTCGAGCTGCGTGCCGCGCACGCGGTCTCGGGCGGGACGGTAGTAGATCTCCTGGATGACCTTTCTGGGCGATGGGTTGTCGGGCCCGCTGCTTGCGACCCGCGCCTGGAGGGTGTGGAGGTAGATGCGCATAAACCATGGGAGCGTCTCCATGTAGACGAACTCGACCTCTGCGTCGGGGCTCGGGTTCGTGAATATGGTCTGCACCCCTCCTCTTTCAGCCCCATGGCCCGTCAAACTGCGCTCCGCGTAGAGGGCAGGGACCTCGGGCTCAACGATACTGGGCACAGACACCTGTTGCTGCTCATCCGGCTGAGGTAGGATTATATCGAATTCGGCGTGGGGTTGTACAGTGAAGCACCGAGAGAGTGGGCCCTTGAACTCGTATATCCCCCCGGAAACATAGACGGTGCGGCTGTCGGGAACGTCGACGCAAACCGGGCGACTGTCCGGGTCGGTGAGTGGGCATGTGCCCTTCATCGTACGGCCGAAGATTTGCGACAGGGTCCAGTCCTGGTGCGCGTTCGAGTCGGCGGGGAAGCAGGTGTCGTCGCCGTGGTAGTCCTTTGAGGTGTCGCACCTGAGCTCGTGCGCGGGGGGAGGTCGGGGAATCGGGTTGTCTGCACAGGGTCATCAGGGGGTCAGTAAGAACCGAACATGGGCTTGGGATTGTTGGACACTTGGTGCATACCCCGCGGCCGCTTGGACCTGTCCATGTCGAGGACCATGTCGATGGTCTGCTCGATTTCCAATACGCACTCTCCGCCCTCGGGGCACACAGGCCGGACGTCGATGGCCATGCTCTGCCAGGACGCGTCAAAGAGCTTGTGGCCGTCCAGCAGCGACGCGATGCCCGCCTTGCCCTTGCAAGGGAGGAGCTTTAGGAAGGGCGTCAGGTTCTCGGTGCAGACCACCTCGCGGGGCAGGGTGCCGTGGAGGAGGTGCATGTTGGCCGCAGCGACGTTGGGGTGGTCGCCCTCGGGGGTGAAGGACATGGCGGGGCGGGTGGTGCGGGTGCCGTCGATGAAGTTGAGCGAGGCGCAGAAGAGGCCGGACAGGGCGTTGGTAAGGGTCAGCCACTTTCGGTCGGCCCTGGCAGCTTTAGTGTCAGTGGCTCGCCGATACGTCTGCAAATCTAGGGGCTGGTACTCACTCCTCGTCCGTCGGGGCCTCAAGCCATGCCCACAGCTCGACGCCGGTGCCGCCTTCGCGGGTGCCATCCCACGGGCGGGTGCCCCAGCTCTCGGCATCCCAGCGGCCGAGGGCGAACCTCAGGTGTAGCTCGCGGGTGCCGGCATGCTGGAGGATCTGGGCGACAGATCTGGGGAAGAAGCGGTAGTTGTGTGCCTCAAAGTCGGCGACGGTGATGTTTGCGCGGAAGTTGAAGCTGGCCAGGAGGGCGGAAAGGGGCAAAGGCCGTAGCACGAGCTGCTCGTGGTACTGCTGCGCCGCGGCCGGCTCGGCGAGCAGAGCCACCAGGAAGATGGCGGACAGGCACGTCGCCGCAAGCCTGCAGAGTGAGCGCATGGTCGTTGTGTGGTCTTGTTCCGCTCCTCGGCTGCGTGGCCGAGTCCGGTGCGAGCTGAGCGTTGGCGAAGGCGAGGTGTCAGCTCTAAGTGTGGGGAAGCAGGGTGGGTCTCCATTGGGCGCTGGTGTCTGGGTCACTTGCTGTACCTTTGTTTGCAGGGCTTGCGTATCATCAGTGCCTCCATGGGCACTGAGCTCTTCAATACAATCGTGTTTAGGAATATGTATGGTTAACATCCCGATCTAAGCACCACTGCCATCTATTTTGCCAGGTTAAACAGTAATTCAGACCCTTGATCCTTTCCCTACTTGGTATTCTCACTCATCCTCGAGGCTAGCTGCAAGTGAGTACAACGACATCAGTTCAGGACGTGGCCAGCAGTTAATGTGGGGCACCCCACTCCGATCCGCAGCAGTCCTCGGGCGCATCAAGAGCTGAAAATCGCGTTGAGAACTCGCGATCCAAACCAGGTACCTCAAGCTGCTTGTAGCGCTGCGGCGGTCCAGACGACCTAACCTACAACTACCACCTACCTACTCGCGGCGCAGAGAAAGGAACTGTCGTCAAAGCTGCAGCAATCCCCAACGAACGCTCTTCATATCGCACATTCAAGGCAACCACATAAACGCTCGCCTTAACCTTTTGCAATCATGGCGGCGGAGCAGCGAAAGCTCCTCGGTAAGATCTATCCTTCCCATCAAATTCATATCACACCCAACCTAGTAAACTGACCAGGCCTCCACGCACAAAGAGCAGCTCATGGGCGGCGGCATCGCAGCCCGCCCGTCCCAGCTCTCCCTTACTGACGCCAAGGTCTGCCGGTCCTACGTCGCCGGCACCTGCCCGCACGATCTCTTCACCAACACCAAGCAGGACCTCGGCCCCTGCCTGCGCGTGCACGCCGAGGCCCTCAAGGTCGAGTACGAGGCGCTGCCGGAAAAAGAGAAGGCGCGGCTGGGGTTTGACTACGACTACATGCGCGATCTGTCAAAGTACATCGACGAGTGCAACCGCAGGATCGACCAGGCGCAAAGGAGACTGGAGAGGACGCCGGATGAGATCCGCCAACACAATGAGCTGGTAAGCCTTGCCGCGCTCCGGTCTCGAACGCTTTCCGGCGTGACTGACACATGCTTCTGATGTCTCCAAACAGCTCCGTACGATCAACGACCTACAATCCTCCATCAACTGCGGCATCACCGAGGTCGAGATCCTGGGCGAGGAGAGCTTGGTTATCCAGTCGCTGGAGGAGTACGTGCGCGTGCGCCAGACCGAGGTGTCCAAAGCCGAGCGGGAGCGGGAGCTCAAGGTGCTTCTCGATACTAGTGGGCCGTCGGGCCACCAAAAGCTCCAGGTCTGCGACGTTTGCGGCGCTTACCTGTCCCGCCTCGACAACGACCGCCGCCTGGCCGACCACTTCTACGGCAAGATGCACCTCGGCTACGCGCAGATGCGCAAGGCCTACGAGGCGTTCCCTAAGGAGCTGCGCCAGCGCGGCGGCCGCGGCGACCGCGGCGAGCGGGGCGGCTACGGGGGTCGCGGCGGCCGCGACGACTACGGCGGGTACGGCCGCGGCGGCCGGGACCGTGACGGCCGTGATCGTGACGATGGTGGAGGGTACGGCGGCGACCGAGGCGGCGGCCGCTTTAGAGATGACGATGGCCCCGGGGGCCGGGATCTAGAGATTATGGTGATGGTGGTTGGAGGGGCGGTCGGGGCTCGCGTTCTGGTGGTGGCGGTGGTGGTGGAGGTCGTGGTGGCCGCCGCGGAAGATGGTGAAAAGACGGATCTCGGCGGCGTATGTATGTGCCGTGTGTCTTATTTGTCTTTTTGAACCATGAGTTTGGTGTTCGGCGTTATGGGGGTGGATGGGAAAACGGCGCAGCGCTTGATACCATTTCACTATATAGGGCATATAGGAAGGAGATTGCCTTTGCCTAGTGCCAGAGGGCCAGATTGAATTCCTCATCAGCCGTTCTTGGGTATATATCTCTGTTCAGAGCCGAGGGCCAGAATAAAGTGCTCCGGGGAAAAGAAGACGCGAGCACGTAGTTGGGTGGCCACAAGGATACATCCTCGACCTCAGGCTGTGATAAATGAAGACTTTCACTCTTGTTGTGGTATCATTGTAATTTTTATTTTACTTCTTTTAATACATCCCATTCCAAGTCCCAGTAGCTGTCCCAGCTGCATCAACCTTTTTTTCTGATGTCACAAAGAAACCAGCCTCCCGAGATTCGCCATTTAGCCTTCATCTCTGCGTCGATCATGACGAGGCTGCGGCGGCCGCCTTGGCTGCAGCGTCAGCCCTGGCCCTCTCGTCCTCGGCCTCGGCCTCGACCTCGTCGTCCCATCGCGCACTAGGAGACATGGGCGAGAACAGCTTGGCCGCGGTCGTCAATGTGTCCTTGACGGAATCGCTGATGGTCGGCGTCTTGGCTATGTTGGTGGACAGGGGCGGGAACTCGACGGTGCTGTTGACGGCGGGCTGCGGTCGGCCGCGCCCCCCGCCGCCGTTCCTATCACCGCGACCGCCGCGCTCTCCGCGCTCTCCACCCCGCTGGCCCCTACCCCTGCCGCCACGGCCACCCCTGCCGCCGCGGCCGCCGTAACCCTCGGGCTCGTCCTCGCCCTGGCTACCGTCCGCCCCGCCGCCCGCGTACCTGCTGTTCTCCAGCCCGCCCAGGCGGCCCGAGTTGAGGCCGCGGGCGCCCCTGACGCCGCCGTTGGCGCCGCCCGCGAAGCGCGGCCTCTCGTCGGCCTGGGGCGCGGCCTCGTGCTCCCAGGCGCCCTCCTTGGCGCCCAGGGCCTGCAGCTTGCGCTCCCT